TTTATCATATTCAGGACAGAGCAGAGGTATTATCTGAACGTCTGAACTGTGCATATCTTGCTTTAACTGATTACCTCAGGTTTATGAAGTTTGGTTTGGGCTTAATGATGAAATTTTTGTAACGTGTTTTTACTCTTAAAGTCCTATAGAAAATATCCATCATGATCTCCTTTTCCCCAGGTAATACATATGAAACAAGAACTCTGGATACTGGGTACCTCATCTGTCAGGATTTCAACAAAAAAATTACCCTAGATAACTAAGATGAAGGAATGCAGAGGGGAAAAATTATCTCAATAATTCATCTGTAACTGCTTTTGTGAAGAGACAGAGATAAAAATAATAAATACAAATATGATATAAATAAAAAATAGATATTATTAAAACAAATATACAGATATAAATATGGAAACAGATATAACTTATTCAGAAAATGCTTTGTTTAAATTTGTTTCCATGGAGGATTTTGTTCAATGGTAGTTTATCTTCTAGTCTGAAGATAATCAAAAATCCAATTTGCTATTGCTAGGAGCATTATTATTTTATCTTAATTTGGAGAAAGCTGATTCTAATGCATTAAAACTTTTCTTCAAGCAAGAGAAAGCAAAGACTAGCTCTGTAATTAGAACAGCTTTCCTACAACTGGTTCATGACGCTACTTAAGAAAGAAACAAACAACGACAAAAATTTACTCCAAGTCATATACTCTTTTATTTCAAGAAGGATTAAAATTTTTTCTTTACAGTAACTTAGTAATGTATTATTAGTATTCAATATCAGTTGCAATGATATAATTCATTCAGCAGGTATTTCTCAGTTACCCAGTTAACATAAAAATCCAAAACAATCTCTGATTTTACTTCAAAAACCAATCAGTCCTTTTGTATGTCATTTGCATTTGAGCAGATAAGAAGCTTACAAAAGTAAAATTACAGTGCTTACTGAAAAAAACTAATCTCCACTGGGCTGATTTGCCACCCGCCCCTCCCCAACCTGCAGCAATATTTTCAAAGATTATTTTTTTCTTGTGGCAAATAATTCACTTGCTGTCAATTTCAATTCTTAGACCAATAAATCAAAACCACTTATTTCTTGAAATATTGAAATACCAAGAAGCTAAAAGGGAATACTTCATGTCTTGTGTAAAGAAAAAACACTGCATTTGTGTAAGGGAGAGAGACAGATGACTAGATTGCTTGTGTCCATGACAAACCGAACAGGTCAGGAGCTGGTACACCAAGTCTTGTGAGTCCTTAATGCAGAGCAGGAGCAACACCATTCGGTACCCAGCTGCACAGCAGGACCTGGAGCAATTCCTGCTCAGCATTCAGTAGCTTAGAAATGCATAGCTGCAGGAGCTACTTAGTGGAGTGGCTATCAACTCCAGATACCTTCTGCTGTTTGCCATATCTAAGTTCTATAGGTTGTAGACACATGATTTCACTTAGACGAACTCATTTACCCTCCAGAAATTCTCTTGGAATGATCTTGCAGCACCTTTAACTGCACTGTGGTCTGATCCAGAGAGTTGGAGAAATGTCATCCACACAGGTTTGACCCATCTGGATCAACTGTGCAGGGAAAACTCCATTATCCATAGCTGTGTACATATGATTAGCATAATGATGTGTGTTAGGTGCAATATAATTTAGAGTGGGTGAAAAAGTCTGCTGATAAACTGAACATATCAATCCACAGTATCTGTTCTTTCAAACTGGGTCTCTACAGCTTATATCTTAACTACACTAGTATATATAACACTTCTGACAGGATCAGCAGAGTTACCATATATATATATCAGTACAAATGAAAGAAAAATCTGGCTCTGAGTGAAAGAGGAGAACATCAGAAAGTATATACAGAGCTCTTCAAGAGCTGTGTCTCTGTGTGCATCATTCTAGCTTCAACATCTAAATAAAACTGTCCTGTGCTCCATTCAGAGGTCATGACAGACCACAGAATCATAGAATCATAGAATATCAGGTTGCAATGGACCTGAAGGATCATCTGGCCCAACCTTTCTTGTCAAAAGCATGGTCTAGAAAGATGGCCCAGCAACCTGCTCAGCCAAATCCTAAAAGTGTCTGATGCAGGAAGGCTGATGAGTGCAAACATTAGCTGTACTTCTGAATCTCTTCAGGTTTGATTTTGGAGTTGTTTTTTGTCTGTTTGGGTTCAAACCTAGGGGTACAGTCACCTGTGGAGGCCTTGTAGCTCTGATTGTAGGGATTGTACTTTGATATGTTTACCTGAGAGCCAAGGTGTAGTAGCAGGAGACCAATCATTCACTAACAAGTCTGACAGGTTGCTGGACAAAATCCATCTCTTGTCATCACAGCCTGGATTCCCAGAGATGTCAGAGTCCTGGAAAGTCCTAGAGCAGTGAATGGGTGGAGAATGGTTGAGTCCTGAAGGAAAGCTTTATATATCTCTATAGTGTTCTTTGCTTCTCCCCGAGCGTCTGCTCTCTGGTGACTCCCAAACTAGTTAAATGTCTAATCTGACCTAGTGTGGTTGCTCTTACACTGTTATGGAGTTTGAGCAGAACTAACATGCAACCCTCCGCACCTGACTCTAGACATGCTCTTCTACGTAGAGAGTATTATTTCCTGACATATGAAACGGAATAGAGTACCAGCTCTTTCCAGTTCAACTTTTTGATCTCTCTTTGAAATCATTAACAATTCACAGATGCACCGAAAGCTTGTCTGGAAGATGACAGAGGACCACCACTCCCCACTCAGAAACAACAGGAAAACAGTGTATCAGCAGAAACACATGCTTGGAGTGAAAACCCAGTTCCATCAGGTGTTAGCATTCATGGATGTGAACAAGATTTCACATTTATTTCTGGATTGTTCTAAGGGGTCTTTTATCTAGACTAAACATTCATGGGTACACTTTGAAATACACTCATCATTTTCCCAGAAATGGGAGTATAGTCATTGGATTTAAAGGCAAGTTCACAGCAGTCATTCTTTACTCTGCCTTCATCCTCTGCCTCATGGTGGCTGAATCACTAAAGAAATTACCCAAGACATTTTTCTTGGCAAGACCAGAGTTGCATCAGAAACATTTTTACTGATCTGTAACCATATGATTCTAGAAACCAGAAGAGCTCTCTAGTCCCAGACTAGACACAATATTTCACTTATGCATTTGAGTTTTCAATTTGTAACTTTTTGGATATTTTTTTTTTTTTTTTTATATATATATATATATATATATAGAAAGAAACCAGACAAAATCTACACTTTGCTCAAACAGTAACGGAAGGAAAGAAATCTCTCTCATTACATCTGCTCAATGCTACAATTACTTCATTTAAAATAACAGCAGTGTCAAAAAAGAAATATCTTAAACATAACTACATATTTAAGCTTTCCTTTTGCAATTGCTCCAGGCTTAGTAATGTGCAACATTCAGAGTAATTTGACTGTAATTGAAGCATTTCGGGTTTTTTAACATGTATGTTATGGAATTCTTAGTCTCTGGAGGTGAGCAAACACCATGTGCCACCTACTTTACTATTTTGCTTCAGAGATTTGACTTATTGAGAAGTAAGCTTAACACAAATAAAATGGCTTTCCCCTCCTGGCATTTGGCAGGCATACAGAAATGCAAGAGCAGTGTACCTAGAGATACTCACATCTTGGGCTATGTTCAGAATCGAAAGTATTTCAATACAAAATGAATCATCTGTGACAACCCCTAAGCAGTGCCACATTTCAGAAAGTGCAAGCCTGGGAATGAAAGTGAAATTGTATGTAACTGTCAATTAAAATAATCTAATATAGACTTTTCTGACTTTGGTGGAATGTTGGGCACAGATTTTCTGGAAGCCCACTCTTTTTCATTTCCTTAGCATATATTTTACAGTTCAGGAGGACTGAATCACATCTGTAGACAAGGTATATTACACAACTCATGGGAGAAAAGGTGATGGAAGAAGCACTATCATTGTGGATCACCTCTCAGCAGTTCATATCCACAACTGGTGTAAACTAATATAACTTCACATCAAAACTAATTCTAAAACAGTTTCTAAGAGAAGAGTGACTTTAGAAATAAGGTATTTGCCATTCCCCATTTGGGAAATCTATAGTATTGTATCTTAGATAGTTGCATTCAGAAAGGAAAACCAGAGAGTTTCTGTCAGTTTACTCAGATCAGGAATAAACAGTGCAATGGCAGCATAACCAAGGTAAATAGAAACACATGGAAATTCCTGCTTGCCCAAGCAGTATGTATACACTATACATTGGCTGGCTACACCTTTGAATTCACAAGATTTAAATCAGATCAGAATTTGGCCCTCAGAGTATTCAACAGGCAGTTCTGGGAAAGGGTCCAGAAGAATTCAGTCAGTAACCATGAAGACTGTCATTTTATAAGATGTAAGTTGCAGACTGAAAAAAAAAAAAAGTATCGTTAGGCAGTAAAATTACAGTTTTATTTCATACTGAATTTCAAGCTACACTATAAGCTGTAGAAAATATTCAGCTAATAGAACATTGTATGTATTTAGTGAATCTGGAAAATACCCCCAGGACAGCAGCTCTCAATCCTGCTAAGATAATTTCCATAGCACTGAGCTACAGTTGTATGTGTGTGAATACCAAGTGTGTTTAAAGATCTTCCATTTTATTGCTGCTATTTAGCAAGTAATTTTGTCAACTGAATGAGTATATGGTTAAAATGTAAAAACCTGAAAGGTATTTGAAATACACTTTTCTCAACATTCAGGTGTTAATCTGTGGTTAAAACCATATAATAGTATGGCAGAAGTTCAAGCTCTGCTTGCCTTGAATATGCAGAAAGTTGCACCACAATCAAAGTCTGGTTGCAGGATAGGACCACAGTAGTGAGAAATCAGTGAATGTCTTTTGAGTAAATCATGGACTTACCATGAACAGTTCTGCTTAACTGAGAGCTACCCCAGGGCACGGCTGTGGCTGCGTCCCTGCCCCCGAGATCTCAGCTGTAACTCTTTCTTCCAGGTACTCCTTTCAAGATGAAGAAGACATGTTCATGGTGGTTGATCTCTTACTCGGAGGTGATCTGCGTTACCATTTGCAGCAGAATGTACACTTTAATGAAGGAACTGTTAAGCTGTACATTTGTGAGCTGGCACTTTCCTTGGATTATTTGCAGAGATATCACATCATTCACAGGTGAGTGAATTTCATTTGAGGGACAGGCTGCTTGCTTTTGGCAAAGCAGAGGAATTTTATCACATATCCGATTACATGATTGTTTATTCAAAACCTCTGAAAAGTTTTCATTCTTGTTCTGATCTCATACAATGATGTATGTTTTTTACTCTGGTCTTTGAACACTAAATATAACCCACAACAGCATCCTAGTTGATTTTAATTTATTTTTAGTTCTTCAGTGCCCCAGTGTTCCTGAACACAAAAATGTTGTAATCCAGTAGAACAACTTCACACAACATCAGGGAAAGGTCACAAAACCAAAGGCTGAGGATAAAGAATAATTTATTTACTTGCAGAATCTGCATGAAGGTCAGAAGGAGAAAGAGAGGTGGGTAAATAAGAGAAATAGTAGAAATAAATTGGAACAGTGATAGATAGTACATCCTTTTTGCACTTCTTAGTTTACAACAGTCTGTTATTTTTACTGCCTTACAGCTGGAAATCATAGTATTCATGTCAAAAAATGTGTAAAGCACCAAGGTCTGTTTTCCTTAAACAATTTGTTGTTTAACTGAAGCAGCAGGGTAACTTGTCTTTTTGTGTTAACACAACAACTGGAAAAATTATAAAATTATGGGCTTGAGCCTCTATTTGACTCTTTTTATGCTAAATTCAGGATATTCCTTCCCGATTTACTGTGGTCTGAATACAAAAATACTTAGTTTTGTGTGTTACTGAAGCTGCATGTGAGTTTCAGAGACCAAGATCTACCAATGTTCAGTATAAAAAAATTCCTCCAAATATATTGAGAGTTTTCATCCCATCCATCTACCAGAGCTGCCTCATGATTTCGCAATAAAGAACCAATGAAACATATGATCTGACTTTCTGAAGAGGGAGGGTCCATATGAAATCCCTCTGATCTGAGGTGCAGTGGTAGATGGCTGTTCTGTATTACTGAAACTACGCAAGAAAATATTCAAGTAAACATTGCAACAGCTGATTTGCTTGTAATTAAAACACCCACAAATATTGCATGCAATTTCTGAAATGTTGTATCTTTAGCACATTGTTATTATTTTAGTACATTTCCATGTATTTTGCATATGTTTTCCTTTCTCAGTGAATATTTTAAAAGCGGAGCTCAGAATTTCAGCTGACCTTTGTTTCTATGCCTTAAGGAATGTTCTTGGTGAAAAACACATTGATGAGCATTTTTCTCACCATTATTTTAATGATGAGCCATTTTATGCAAATAGGCTGTCAAAACATTCATGCGAGAATCCCGTTCATAATCAAAACTTGTATTTTGCTACAAGCCTCTGAGTTAAAAATGTTTCACAGAAAAGCCTGTGAAAGGTGGCAGATGTCTTGAGAGAATGAATGAAGGACTGGATTGAAAGTCATTATGGTTTCTAATAGCTTTTTGTGACAGTATACGCATTGCCATGGTCCAACTGTGAAACTGGGCAAGACACATTATTCTCTTCTGTTTTACTTAATCATGAAGAGTGACCACTTGGTTTATTTTTTCTTTTGCAGTTATTGTAGTATGGAGTAACATCACTGGCTTTAACACTTGGTTTGCACCAAGGCAGAGGAAGCCATGGGGGTCTAGAGCTGGTTGTTGGCTCCATTTGGTGGCAAGTTCTGGGGCTTGATTCTCGCTTCAGCTGCCATAAATCTCTGCAGCATGGCTGGTATCAAGAGCACAATGCTGATGTAAATTGGCTCAGGACCTGAGCCAGCCGTGGTGCACTGTTGAGATGTGTCACCATTATTTTATAACTGCAAACGCACCGTCTCGGTCAGAGATTAAACCAGTGAGCTGGTTGGTGCTTATACTTCGTGGTAGTAGTCTTCAACAATATCATTGAGATGAAGTGCTTCCAGTCAGCCTTTACACGCTAACCTACAAAACTGTATTAGACCTTTCACTTTTAAATGAGTGCATTGGCAGCAAAAGGGAAAAAAAAGCTTAGTGAGTCATGGAGTCATTGAGAGAGCCCCCTACTAAATTTTTTTCTGGGCTACAGAGAAAGAATAGTTGAATGATTCATCAGACTGGTAGGTGGATTTTCAAAATGCAGTATTATAAAGAGCTGAATATATGGTGTGTGTCAGGAACTTCTCAATATTTGCAGATGTGTATGAAATGTGTGCAGGTTTCCATTACTATTGCATCCGGCAACATGACAGAATGTCATTTTCAAGATTAACCTTCAGCTCCAGGAGTTTGCTATAAAAGAAAGTGGTAATGGAGGGGACATGTATGAATGGATGGAGAAGTGTCCAGATCAGTGCTATGCCAGTTCCTCTTGGAGATGCCTTGTAATGCCTCTGCATTTGTTATGTGATTTTGAATGCAGCAATCATTTCACCGATAGAAGTATTGTTTCTGCAGGGACAACTTTAACCATAAATAGGGTAAAACCCACTACTGGTTTGGTATGTTTATGAAACTTATATTAATCATATCCATGTATATAAATCCTTATTTATCATGCACAATCCTGCAATATATTATGACACAATAATAAATGCTGCACTGTGTGTGTCACTTGCAGCTCTATTGTAGATGTTTGCATTTTCATAGATGTTCAGTCAGAATGGCAAATACTTTAAAAAGAAAAGCTGTAAGTTTCAAGCTATGATCTGAAAACTATTCTGAGCAAATTTTTCACTTAACTTACACAATGGCTAATTTAATGTTGAGATGTCTCTAAACTGTTGGTCACAGGTAATGGCTACATCACAAACCTCTATTTCCCCACAGTCCTGCTGTAATATTTTATTCACATTTCTTAAATGAAAAAGTAATTCTTTAAAAGCTGGATAAAGAGTGTTTATCATAGACCCTTGGATCCTGTACACACAGAAAGGCTTCTGACAATTCATGTGCTCTCATTCATTCTTAAATGTTGGATCAATTCCGGCATTCTGCATTAGCAGACATCAAGTTTCAAGACAGTATGACTAAACACATTCTTTCCAGTACTGTTTGTATAATACCAGTGAATAACATGTTGGACAAAAGTTTCCCTATCAAAGGATGAATAAACTTATTTCAGCCATGAGTAACTCAACCTCCTCCTTTCACAAATGTTGCTGTTCATACATTCCAATAAAACCACCTGCTTCCTCACTGAAGTAGGCTGCTCATTTTCATTCAGTTAGTTCTTCCAACAGTAGCTCCAGTGTTGTCTCTCCCAGGATGCTCTTGCAGCTAGAGCCTTGGCTTGGAGCATCGCTGGCCCTGCAGTGCTGCGGCTGCTGCCCAAGTAACACGCTTGTACTGACAAAATTACATTTTCTCTTTCTATGGGGGCAACTGTTAACTGCATTGCCCTTACAACTTTTCATCATCATTTGGCTGCCTTGGTTTTCATCTGCTCAGAAAGGAGGCTGGATGTGGCAGATGTCTGGAAAGGAAATTGCAGTAACCCTCCAGCATGATTTTAGGATACTGGACTAGCTGTTTGATCTGTATGCCCAGGGCTTTTTTACTTCAGTGGGGTTTTTAAATGCAAAATCATTTGTGTGTGTACATGTACATATATATGCACACATCTAAATTTTTGTTTGAAGCAAAATATGATCGGAATCAGTCTGGCTTGGCGAGTCTGTGCTGTGTGACTACTGTGATCACCACTCTATTCTCCATTCCTGCAAGTTCTGCTTCCAGTGGAGAGTGGCATCAGGAGCTATTCCAGCTCTGAACAGCTACTCAGCAGCAGTGCAGGATGGACAAAAGCTAGTGGAAAATGGTGACAAATCAAGCATTACATATTCCTCTGCCAGATGATCCACTGTAGAGTACAGGTGCCTTGTTGCTATCATCTAGACAAGATGTACTCTTCATTCAGCACTGCTTGGCTGGACTGTGGTGTAGGAGACACCTGTGTGTTCATCGCTGTTTAGTTTCTTGAGGTGTCCAGCAGTATGATGAAATAAGATAATTAGTCTAAATGGTTAGACTCATCTTTAAAATGGGCCTTCCCAGTTTCACTTGTGATACCGTACACCAGAAGAACAAACTCTGATTTAAAATGTTCCCTTTGTAACCCTGACCATTTAGTATGTAAGCAGTAAATAGTTTGGAAATTACTTGAAAATGGAGAATTTGCCCTTTGTTGTTTTTCACAGATGTAACAGGCAGAATAGTGCCAACCTGAGATTTACCAGAATATATTAAAAGGATACAGTTCCTTACAGATTTCAGCTCATACTACCAGTATTTTTCTTGCATGTGTAGATAAAGAAGAAAATGTAGTAGAGTCTGAAGTAGATGAAATAGAAAGAAAATAACTGCTGTCTGACTGCTATTCTCAAGCACTACCAAGATCATAACAGGTCAAGAGACTTGTCCATTGAATATTCTTAATTTGTCTTCCCATGTCTCTTCTATCTCACTGTATTACATTCTTTAAACAAGTGCAAGCCCATTTTATGTCCAAGGACAAATTTCAGGAACTGAGCAATGAGTTATGTAGAAGCAAATTAGAAAACATATCAAACTAGCCAAAGAAGAAACACCATGCAAACCACAAAGCACAGAAAACCTGCTGAATGCTCATGAACTAGCACTAATCAAAAAGAGATTCACCAATTCTATGCACAAAAGTTATTTAAATTTTAGTCGTGTCCTTAAAAAAAGAATTTGATATCACAAGATATGAATATGCAGAGAACTCCTTTCAACTTTTGAATGGAGTTCTCTACCTACGAGAACAAATTAATTTTACTTCTGTTTGGCAACAGTGAAAGAAAAAGTTATTTTATATACCAGATGACATACTGCAAATAAATTAAGTTGGTTTAGAAAAAACACTGAGATTTCAATACCCAGAGACTAGATTACTAATGAAGTAAAATCGGTGAAGAGACACAAGGAACACTCTGAGATGTGTGATGCCCCATCAGGTGCTCCAGTCCTGCCACTGGCAGTGATCTAATCTTTTATTGTGAGCATAGTGCATTCTCCCTTCATCACTCAGGTGAAACACCAGAAGACATGC